ATACATTCCAACATGTATTCCAACAATCTTTGATTTTTGCTCCAGGTGATAACATGCCTGCCTAGACTGACTATCTGGTCTGCAGACTATAGTTTTTGTTCCCCTAAGAATTGAATCTCCTATCACCAATATCACCTTTTTTCCCTAGGGAAGTTGGGGATATTTTCCTTCCTATCACAGGAATGCTGGTTGTTCTTTTTTAGAAACTATTGATGACTGCTCTTTTATAGGTGTCTGCATATTTTCTTCCAGGGGAGGATATGAAAGTGATTGTTCAGTTCCAGAGAGGCTTCATTGGATTGGGCTAAGGTAGATAGTAGGGACTTTGCTCTTGGTTGTTGTTTTCTTTTAAAAGTGATATGTTTCCACAGGTCTTCCTCTTTAGGGTTATATATAGGGTATTTTTTTCAGAAGCTATTTGTTCCCTATTGTGTTCTATTTGAGTGTATTGTGTTTTCTTATTTAGGTTCATATACGGGGTCATTTTTTAAAGAAGTTGTTTGCTCCCTGTTGTGTTTAATTTTGGTGTAGTCTTCTTATTTAGATTGGGGTTTCTTGCTTTGTTCATTGAGTTTCAGAATGGGTAGAGTTGCCTCTAGACCCTTTACCTTTTCTTCTAGTAATTCATATAATTTACATTTGATAAATGCATGTTTGGAGTCTTCTTTGGTTATAAACTCAAACATATGACATGTTTTGCAAGTCACTATAATGTCTCTAGTTCCATTACTTTTTGTTTGTTGTGAGGGGGCTTTTCACAGCCCTGCTAGACTCGAGGTGCATCTGCTGCTTAGTCAGCCTGAGGATCGTGGACTTGTTGGGACTAATACTTAAGAGACTAAAGCAACCCATGAGGATGACCCACTTAAGGGATGGGGGTGCTTGCAACCTGCCTGCCTGAACCAGTGAGCCTAAGGGTGGGAGCCACATAGAGACTATTCAGTATATTGTAGCCCCATAGATGGAGAGACAATGATACTGAGATTGTCGTGGCTGAAAAAGTGGAACTGGGAAAGCAAAAATTGACTGGGAAAGCAACAAGTGGCGGCTGAGGATTAAAGCTGAGAAAGAACTAGGGATGGAAAACCGCTGAAAGTTAGATGAGCACAATCAGCTGTGAAAGTGAAAGCAGAGGCAATCAATACATTAGTTGAGAGCAGCCCAGCAGAGCCAAGTATTCCAAAAGAGCATTGAGACCTGGCGGAAATATTTAATGAGCAGGAACTGGATATGTTCCCTCCTCATTGCCCCGCAGACTGTGCAGGCAAAACTCCCCAAACCAAAAATGTACTCTATGATTCTGGGGGTGATGGAGGAGCTCTGAGCCTTTGTGGACAAGAATTTAGCTAGGGACTTCATCCAGCCAGCTAAATCCAAGGTGGTGTTACTAGTGTTCTTTAAAGAGAAAAAAGATGGATCATTGAGACTGTGCATGGATTTTAGTGGGATTAATGGTGTGTGCATGGAAAATATGTGTCCCTCCCCCTTGTGAAAGACATGCTGAGGCACCTATCCAAGGGGAAGGTGTTCACAAAGTTGGATTTGAGAGAGGCGTACTATCATGTGAAGATCAAAGAGGGAAATGAATGGAAGATTGCTTTTAATTGTCCCTTGGGATGCTATCAATTCAGAATGATACCTTTGGGACTACAGGGAGCACCAATGGTGTTAACGAGGCACTGCATGATCACCTGTACAAAGAGGTGCTGGTTTACCTGGATGATATTCTCATCTACTCTGAGACAATGGAGGAGCACATGAAGCTAGTGAGGGAAGTGCTACAAAAGCTACTGAGGGCTAAACTTTATTTCAAACTAGCCAAGTGCGACTTCCACAAAAGTAGCTTGGACTATTTGTGGTACCACATATCAAGCAAGGGGGTGGAAATGGACCCTAGGAAAGTGAAAGCCATATTAGAGTGGGAAGCCCCCCCAAACCCAAAGGCAACTGCAGAGCTTTCTGGGGTTTGCCAACTTCTACCAACAATTCATCCCCTCCTTTGCACAAATAATCACAGAGCTATTAAAGACGGGAGGGTGAGCATTGAAACCCAAGGTGAGCCACCTGCTGAATTGAACTATGGACTGTCAAGCAGCTTTTGAAAAACTCAAGCGGCTTTTCATGGCTGAGCCAACCCTTAAACACCCAAATCCAACAGCGCCTTTTGTAATCCAAGCTGATGCTAGCAATGTAGCCGTGGGAGCAGTCCTGCTTCGAAAGAACCAAGAAGCCATGTGCCTAAACCTCCCATAAACTAACTGACACCAAGAAGCACTTGGCAGTGTGGGAGAATACAAGAGTTCCAGGGAGGAAATAGTTAACTCGATCATCCCTCGGGGCAGCTGGCAGCGCAAAACTCCATGAGGCCAATTCTGCTGACTTTTCCTCAGCCATCTGATAGTCAGATCACACAGAAACTGAGAATTAGAATTAGAATAACAGAGTTGAAAGGGCCCTTGTAGGCCATCTAGTCCAACCCCCCACCTAAGCTGGAGACCCTACACCATTTCTGACAGATGGCAGTCCAGTCTCTTCTTAAAAGCTTCCAGTGATGAAACTCACACAACATCTGAAGGCAAACTGTTCCATTGGTTGATTTTTCTCACTGTCAGAAAATTTCTCCTTGAATCTCTCCTTGATCAGTTTCCACCCCCTCCTCTCTGTGACAGCACCTCAAATCTTTCCATTCTTTCACACACGTTCCTCCAAATCCTTCCCATTCTCACGCACACATTCCTCCAAAATCCTTTCTTCTTTCTCTCTCTCTGTCTCTCTCTCACTGCTTCTCTGACAAAAGCCTTTTCTCTTCTGCCTCTTTCTCTGGACTCTTTTCTTCTCTCCCTCTCCCACCAAAACTGCCTCCTTTTATAGCCTCTCCTGTCTCCACCCCTCCTCCTCCTTTCTCTTTTAGGTGAGCCAGAAGTGCTGATCCTGAGGACTCTCTCATGGCAAGTCCTGTGCTGCGCCTCTTTGGCTCATTCTCTCCCCTGCTACACTTGGCTGGGCTGGGCTGGGCAGGACTGTGTACCACCTGCCAGGTGCCAATGTACCACCGGTGGTATGCGTACCACCAGTTGAAAAGCCCTGGTGTAAACTGTTCTGTTTTCTACTTGGTTCAGCATTGAAGAGGCAGCAATAGAAACAAGTACTTCTTTATTGAAGTCAAAACAGAAACTAACAAGCATTGCTCCGCCCCTATTTATACATTCAGCTCTGGGCGCCATCAGCCAATGAGAGCACAGTATTCTCCCGCTCAAATGCATAATAAACAGCCTTGTAGACAGCAAGTCTGGCTAGCAGGCCATGTGGTCTGCTAACCGTTCCTGCACAGATCTCAGCCATCTGCTTCATAAGTTTAACTCAATACATTACATAAACTACCAGCACAACAACTGGACTGAGGTCCTCCCATTTGCCGAAGTAGCATACAATAATTCCGTCCATAGCAGCACAGGCTTCATCCCATTCAAAGTGCCCATGGGCCAAGTCTTTGCCTCAATACCTGAATTACCCATGACCACCCCCTCTGTCACCTCTCTCAAAGACTAGGTGACCAGATTACAAAACATCTGGCCAGTGGCTAGAAAATCAGTGGAAGAGGCAAGAGACGTCTATAAAAAACAAGCAGACAAAAATGCACAAAGCCTAAGGGCTTTAATGTAGGAGATTGGGAGTATTTATCTACCAAGTACTTGCAATCCAGACAACCCTTGAAAAAACTGGGACCCAAGTATGTTAACCTTTTCCCATTAAAAGCCTGGTTAAACCAGTCACAGTAGAACCTGAACTCCCCAAATCACTCAGACACATCCACCCAATCTTCTATTGCTGTCTGCTGAAACTTCAGCCACTTTCCCCCCTGCACTCAATACCACTACCTCCACCTGAGCCTCTCATGATTGAAGGTGAACAGCATTTTGAAGTCAAAGACATTCTGGATTCCAGCAAACAGCACAGGAAGATCCAGTACTTGCTGGCATGGAAAGACTTTCCCCCTTCTGAAATGGAGTGGGTGGACCTCAAACAGGTTACAGCTGCCAAACTCCTCAAATGCTTTCACAATCAATACCCTGACAAACCAAATGATCTAACCCTGGTTTTCCTTGTTCTCTATCTCTCTCTTTTGCAGGATTAACATCCTTGCCAAGGGGGGCAGCATGTCAGGATCTCCATTGTCATCCTGGTGCCTTGCTGGGTCCTACCATCAAAGGGGAGGGTGGAGGCATTTGGGTCAATACACATCTGTGTATCAATTGGTGGGAAAGGGGAGGGGGAAGTGACAATGGAAGAAAACCAAATCACCAAACCAGTTTGTACCAGGATCTTCAAGGCCATTTGCCCTGAGAATGGAATGTTACCAGTTGCACACCTCAGAGTTTCTCAAAACATCATACCGGCATCACATTGGCTGGCTGGGAGACTGGTCACAGGGGGGAGGGATTGAGATTCAGAAAGAATAGCTTTGTTTTTTGCTCAGGAATACCAGATGCCATCTGACTTTACTGCAGTGGTTCTCAACCTTTTTAATGCTGCGACCCCCAACTGGTCGTAAGTCGAGGACTACCCAACCGGTCGTAAGTTGAGGACTTTCCCTACCTGGGAGCGCTGCGCATGCGTGGTTCCGCCCCCTGCGCTGGCCGAGGCGTAGCTGGCAAGTGGCAGAGACGGAGCAGGCCGACCACCAGCTGGCCCAGCTCAAGGGAGGTAAGGCACCCTCCGGAAAAGGGGAAAAAAATGGCGGACAGCCTTGCTTGGCGACCCCCAGGAAATGGTCGATCGACCCCAAATGGGGTCGCGACCCATAGGTTGAGAACCGCTGCTTTACTGCAACCAGTTTCTTTCAGTAAAAGTTCATTTGTTTCAACTAAATGGAGTTGTGACTCTTACTTTCCTGAGAGAGTAGTCTGGGGCAGGTCTGACATTTGTCTATAGCCATGACGGTAAATTATGCAATAGTATGGCTTGACTGAGTCAATCAAAATAGTCAGTATTTTTCTTACCTCATGTAGTGTCTGGTTTTTTTTCCCCAGGTTCTCACAGACAATCTTATTCTTTGGTTGATGACAGATCTTGGCTTCATCTTTATTGCTCTGGTTCTCTGCTTCTGTCCTGAAATTCATAGTTTCAATTGATGGTCAAAGAATGAAAAATATGCTTTCTTTCTAATCTATAGTAAACCATAGTATTCTGCAAGTTTTGCCAAACAACATTGGTCCAACAACAAAGTCTGGCAAGTTTGGCTGTTCTAGGTTTCAGTGGAAATAAACTAGTTGTGAACTCTGAGTGATTTCATAGGATACGTGGGGCATGGTTGGTGTGCATCATCCTCTCTTCTCTCTCCTGCATTATCTGTATACAAGGCTGCCTCTTCTTTGCCACTGCCATTGCCACTGTTCCACTACCCACATGCCACCATTCTGCCCACCCCATACCTTGCTACTTTGCCTCTGCTCAGCCATTGCCTCCATAGATATATCAGCCTATACAGTATATTTGTTCCTTACTGTGATTACAGTATTTCATGAATAAAAAATAGTCTCCCAGCATGGGCTACCCCAGTGATCAACCTGGCCTCAGATTGAGTCGAGGTAAGAATCAATAAGTCTTGCCAGAAAATGACAGAAAGTGGCTGTGATTCACCCAACACTTTTTGGTACTGCTTGTAACCTGTAACTCAAGCTAAAAAGGAGAAACAAGGACAAGAATTCCTATCAATTTCACCTTGACTCCCATACAATAGTAAGAGAACAGCATAATGGCAAGAAGAGTTCACCTATGGCAGCAATCAGGAATATTCCAAATGGAACTGGAAGATAAAAAAATGCCATCGCCCACCACTAAATTAATTTTAAAAAGTAAAAAAAATTGGGCATGTGAAATTCACTATTAGCAGAAACAGCCCCAAATGTGTAATGCATTCATTTGAACAACTGTCAAAATCCAGCTCTTTCTCCAATGTAAACTGACTGGACTTTTTAATAAAGACTTTTATACTACTTTCTAAAGACTCTGTTCTACTTTTTGAGGAGTTGTAAACAGTGCCACAAGAGAAAAACTATTGTTGTCTGCTTATAGTGGAATTATAAACAAACTACACAAAGAAAAACAAAGTCATAGGGAAAGAATCTAACAACAACATTACATGCAAACTGTGTGCAATGTTTATATTCCTACCTATGGAGGACTCAAATTACACTTACAATAAGCGTGAACTAGTTAGATTACCGAAAAAGTGAAAACTCTTGAGGCAAGTCAAGCCACTGTTGAAAGGTTTGGATTTGTCCTTCAAGCCAGGAGAAGGAGAATGACATGACGAGTGAAAAGAATGAAGCCATGAGGCAAACTGCTAGGAAAGGAAATTGTTTATTCCCAACAACAACCAGCATGTTCTTGGGGGCAGCTGGCAAATTGGATTGGTGAGTGTGTGGGTTTTAATATGTTTTGAGTATCACATACATTTTACAAAACATAAAGCAAAAGATAGGGTTTCCTTCTAGGTCAGTCCAAGGTTTTTGCACTAGGAAGATTAAAGACACCATTGGCTGAAAGACTCTGCTCCTGTGGCTCAGGAGAGGTGGAGACCATTGGACACATACTCCTTCGATGTTCCTTCTATAGAGCTATTCGGAAAAACCATATCCTCCTCATAATTGATAGGTATCCTGGTCGTTCTGAAAGTATTTATCTCCAGTGGCTGCTTAAGGATGAACAGGCAGTGATCACGGCACAGATGGCTAGATTCTGTGTAGCAGCATTGGGGATTCACCAGAAACGTAAATAAACATTTTAGATCTTTTAAATAATCTTTTATAATTAATTTTATTACGTGGTTTTATCCAGCATTAGACTAGGAAGATTGGGATATTGCACGGATCTCCGTGCAGCTTTGGAGGACCCCTTGCACCATATATGCTTTGATCAGTTTTCTTACAGATATTTTGTATTGTGGTATGCATGGGAGAGGCCCTGCTTTAACCCATATTTTAATTTGGGTAGCCCCTTTCAGGAAATCTACTTTGGTGGAATCTGAGAACCATAGTGAGGGTGGCAGATCCTGTAAGTCTGGGTGTAGTGGATTTTCTTTTGAAGGGAGGTGGGTAGCTAGGTAATGTGTACACCTGGTGGGGATATCTAGTGTAAGTCTGTCAGGTTGAGGGCAGATTTTGAAGGAGTGATCTACGGATAAAGGTCCTATTTCTACTCATTTGTGAATTCCACAGTTATAATTTTCCTCCCATCCTGATGATGTTATTCTCTTGTCCCTGACACCATCAACCCTTTAAATGAGGGTTGTGTAATTAGGGATGCTGTTGCTCCAGTATTGCCTAGACACTCATAGGCTTTCCCTCCTATTGTGAGGGTTACGAGGGCTTCACTTTTGGGGCCATTCCTTAGAGCAGGGGTGTCAAACTGCCAGCCCATGGACCGGATGCGTCATCCGGAAGCTGCACCCACCCCATTGCCAGCAATGGCAAAATTGTCCCGATACGTTGCGCAACATCACGTGACGTTGTGAGTTTGACATGTCTGCCTTAGAGGAGTAGCGAGGCCAGTGAAAGTTGCACTAAACTTCACTGGTCCCATATCTAGTTATAATATTTCAAAATCATCCTGAAACTGCAAATGATGAGGTTGCCCTGGAGCCTTCTGAGTTCTATGTGGGATGGGAGACCCTTTGGAGAATGGGGCTTCTGGGGGGAGAGTAGTGATTTCAGGATCCTGAAAATTTTTCCATGAACTCCTTCCTACTCCTTCTTTTTCACATTTAAAGCAATATTGACATCTTTTCCTGGGCCATTCTTCCTCTCCATGCTGGAGGCATTTTTTTCTGCCAGTCTGAAGACCAGTAATTAGAATGTCTCCTATCATTTTAAAGGGCTGCAAACATTTTCAGGTTTTCTTTCCTTTCTGCCCTTCTTTTCCTATCTCTCTCTCTTTCTTTCTGCTTCTTTTCTCTCCTTGTCTTCATCTTTTAACTTTTACCTTTGGTTGAACACAAAATTGGCAATTCTGTGCAATTCTGATATTTCCATGGTGGACCAGTTAGATACAATCCTATGAAAGTGACCTCTCATGTCACTGGCTGACTGCTCAATGAAAGAGGCTAGGATTCCTGGCCCTTGGGCTTGCTCATGTCATGATGGGCATAGACAACCCCTGTGTCTAGGAGACAGACCCAGAAAACATAGGGCCATCCCTCCCAATGTATTGAAATTCTGACCAGTTCAATGGTTTTCACCCAATTTCCTGTAGATCCTTCAGCAAGGCTCCAGCCTTAGTGCTTTTAATATTTTGTATTTGAAAGTATCATTTATCCATCAAATTTGGTTGCCTGCTTCATCCCTGAACAAAATCCATTCTTTATGTAATTGGCACACATGTGTCTTTTCGTCCCTGCCTGGACGAGCAACCTCTTTTTGTCCCAGACTTCTAGCAATCTCCCTAGCAGAAATTCTGGCAGGACCCTTGAGCCTGAATTTCCCATAGCTCTTGGTACCATTTAGGTTGAGCTCCTGCTTTATATGTCAAGATTCCCTTGTAGAACCTCCCACAATCTTTGGGTTGACTCTTTTTCAGAGACTTCTGCATGGCAAGGCTCCTTTTCACCCCGAAAAGGCTTCCTTTTAGCCTTTCACACATCGAGCAACAGGATCTGGGAGGACTCTAGTCTTTTACCAGAGTACAGCGATGAGGAAGGCGAGGAGGACCCCATAGTGAGTTGGCCCATTCCCCCTTTTGCCATTCCCACCAGACTGATAGTACCCAAAACAGGGGCTCATATGAATCTGAGCATCCTAATAGACTCGGGATGCTCTTGGTGCTTAATTAATTTATCCACTGTACTGAAACTGGGCATCCAAGCCAAGCTATTGCCTCATCCCATTGGGTTTGAGCAGGCTGATGGGTCCCTCATCAGAGTTGCCCCTGCCACACCCCCAACCAAACTTGTACATTTAAAAATGGGTTGGCATTGGGAAATCATCCATTTTGTGGTGGTTCCGAAGATGACTGAAGCTGTAATTTTGGGACTAGCATGGCTTGACAAATGGCGTCCTCACATCTGGTGGGAGGATGGAATGCGCAAATTAAGACTGGGGACAGGACCCTCCCCACCTGATACTGATGATAAAACAAAGACACTGGCCATCTGCGAAACTCATGGGGAGTCCCGTGAAATCCTAAAAACTGTAGCCAAAAAGCTGTTGGGGATTCAACTTGTCCCTGCTGAGTACCGAGATTTGGCAGAAGCCTTTAATGAGAAGGAATGTGACATCCTCCCCTCACACCAGATTACGGACTGTGCTATTGAAATTCTGCCCGATGCCAAGCTCCCCAAACCAAGGATGTACTCTATGACACCCAAAGAGATGAAAGAACTAAGAGAGTAAGTTGATAAAAACTTAGCTAGGGGTTTCATTCAGCCAGCCAAATCACCTGTGGCCACTCCTGTACTTTTCAAGGAAAAGAAAGATGGCTCTCTTAGATTATGCATCGATTTCAGGTCTTTCAACATTATCAGTATGGCAAATACGTACCCTCTTCCCCTGATGAAGGACATGTTAGCCCACCTGGCTAAAGGGAAATTTTTTACCAAGCTGGATTTAAGAGAAGCTTATTATAGGATCTGGATTAGGGAGGGGGACAAATAGAAAACATCCTTTAATTGCCCTTTGGGGAGTTTCCAATTTAAAGTGATGCCTTTTGGACTGCAAGGGGCCCCTGCTATATTTATGCAATTTGATAAATCAAGTGCTCCATAATAGTTTTGGTTTATCTTGGTGACATCCTTATCTACACTGAAACCATGGATGAACACATCAAATTAGTCCATGAGGTATTAAGGAAACTGTTGAAAGCCAAACTGTATGCAAAACTGTCAAAGTGTGGATTTCAGCAGACAGGCCTTGACTATCTGGGGTATCGGATTTCGAATGAGGGGATAGAAATGGACCCTGCCAAAATCAAAGCACATATACTGACTCCATGGTGCCCCAAAGAGGATTATTTCTGACAGAGGGGTCCAGTTTACTGCAAAGTTCTGGAGGGAGTTTGTTAAATTGATTGGGTCCTCTCAGGGGCTTCCATCTACTTTTCATCTGAATGGAGCT